AGTTATTATCAAAACATCGGAGCTAACCTGAAGTTATTTTAAGGCATTATTTCAGCCTTATGATGCACCCAGCAACCTGTGACTGCATTATTCAGCATTAAAAGAATTACAGCCTGCCTGGCTCCTGGGGGCGCAATTGTTTTCCTTAGTCATTAACCTAAACTGTGATCTATCTAGCTCCTTAGGGGAAACTCATAAGCCCTAGCTGTGTTATATTTCCTTGTATCTATTTTTATTCATCAAAACTGAATAAACTAATATTATTATTATCAATTAGACAGTAGAGCTTAGGAAAAGAATCATCTTCATAATAATCCACAGGTTAAAATGCCCAGTAGAGATCCCCTGTGGCACCAGAGATGACTGAGAAGCTGTGAGTCCCTGAGTTGCTGGCTGGACTGTGCCCCTCCTCCACCAATTCCAGCCCCAAAGACCAAGCAGCAGCATCCTTTCCCACCCCCTCAGCAACCTTCTCCCATGGCATCAGTGACCACTGGAAAATAGGCCCCACCTTCACCAACTGGAAGAGCAACCACTGGACCCACAGGCCCCACCTGCACTGATTGGAGGAAGAGGGACTCCCAGAGACACAGGCTCCACCTGTATGGATTGGAGGAAGAAATGGGTAGACAGCAGTATAAGAATACATTCAACAGCATAAAGAGCAATATGGCACCAACAGAAAGTAGTAGTTCTACAACTGAAAGACCTGAACATCCCAACTCAGATGAAGCAGAAGAAAACAACCTTAAAAATAACTTCATGAAGATGATAGAGGCCCTTAAAGAGGAAATGAAAATTTCCCTTAAAGAAATAGAGGAAAGTACAAACAAAAAAATTTAATGGAATCAATCAATCCCTTAAAGAAAGCCAAGATAAAACAATCAAACAGGTGAAGGAAACAGTTCAAGACCTGAATTTTGAAATACAGGCAATAAAGAAAACACGAACTGAGGGGATTCTGGAAAAGGGAAATCTGAGTAAATGAAGAGGAACTACAGATGCAAGCATAACCAACAGAATACAAGAGATGGAAGAGAGAATCTCAGACATTGAGGATACAACAGAGGAAATTCATCAAAAAAAAAATGTTAAATCTAGCAAATTTTTAACACAAAACATCCAGGAAATCTGTGACACCATGAAAAGACCAAACCTAAGAATAACAGGGATAGAAGAAGGAAAATTCCAGCTCAAAGGCACAGAAAATATATTCAACAAAAATCATAGAAGAAAACTTTCCTAACCTAAAGAAAGACATGCCTATGAAGGCAAAAGAAGCTTACAGGTCATCAAATAGACTGGACCAAAAAAAAAAAAAGTCCCCTTGCCACATAATAAAATACTAAACATACAGAATAAAGAAAGAATAATAAGAGCTGCAAAGGGAAAAGGCCAAGTAATGTAAAAAGACAGATCAATCAGACTTCTTAATGGAAACTCTGGAAGCCAGAAGGTCCTACAGGCACTAAGATACCATGGATGCCATCCCAAACTATTATACCCAGCAAAGCTTTTACTCACCATAGATGGAGAAAACGATATTCTATGACATAACCAGATTTAAACAATACCTTTCCAAAAATCTAGCCCTACAAAAACCGCTAGAAGGAAAACTTCAACTCAAGGAAGTTAGCTGAACCCACAAAAACACAGGCAAAAGATAACCTCACACCAGCAAATCCCAAAGAAGGGAAGCACACACGCACACGCGCGCGCACACGCGCGCGCACGCGCGCGCGCACACACACACACTACCAAATACAGCATCACCACCAAAACCAAATATAACAAGAATTAACAATCAGTGGCCATTAATATCTCTTAATATCAATGAACTCAATTTGCTTATAAAAAGACACAGGCTAACAGCATGGGTACAAAAACAGGATCCATCCTTCTGCTGCATACAAGAAACAGACCTCAACCTCAAAAACAGACATTACCTCAGAGTTAAGGGTTAGGAAAAGATTTTCCAACCAAACGGACCTAAGAAATGTGGTATAGCTATCCTAATATCTAATAAAATAGACTTCAAACTAAAATTAATAAAGAGATAGATAAGAACATTTTGTATTCATCACAGGAAAAATCCATCAAGATGAAGTCTCAATTCTGAACATCTATGCCCCAAATACAAGGGCACCTACATTTGTAAAAGAAACATTACTAAAGCTTAAATCACACAACAAACATCACACATTAAAAGTCTTCAACACTTCACTCTCACCAATGGACAAGTCTGCTAGACCAAAACTTAACAGAGAAATAAGGGAACTAACTAATGGTATGACTCAAATGGACCTAAGAGACATCTATAGAACATTTCACCCAAACACAAAAGAATATACCTTATTCTCAGCACCTCATGGAACCTTCTCTAAAATTGACCACACATTCAGTCACCAAGCAAATCTTACAGATACAAAAAAGTGGAATTACTCCATGTATCTTATTGGATCACTATGGGTAAAAATTAGAGTTCAACAACCACACAAACTACAGAAATCCCACAAACTCATAGACACTGAACAACTCTCAACTGAATTACCACTGGGTAGAGAAAGAAATTAAAGACTTCCTAGAATTCAATGAAAATGAATCCATGACATATCCAAACTTAAGGGATGCTATGAAAGTAATGCTAAGAGGAAAGTTTATAGCACTATGTGCCTACATAAAGAATTTGGAAAAAATTTGAAAGCTCTAGAACAAAAAGAAGCAAATTCACCCAGGAAATAATTAAACTGAGGGCTGAAATCAATAAAATAGAAACAGAGAATAATAGCAAAAATCAGTGAAACGAAGAGTTGGTTCTTTGATAAACAAACACTTATCCAAACTAACCAGAAGACAGATAAAGAATATCCAAATCAGAAATGAAAAGGGGAATGTAACAACACACACTGTGGAAATCCAGAGAATCATTAGGTTATACTTCAAAAACCTGTACTCTACAAAATTGGAAAATCTAAAAGAAATGGACAATTTCCCTGAAAGGTACCACATACCAAAATTAAATCAAGATCAGATAGATAATTTAAATAGACCTATAACCTCTAAGGATGCTAATAGAAGCAATCATTAAAAGTCTCCCAACCGAAAAAAAAAAAAAAAAAAAAAAAAGCGCCCAGGATCAGATGGTTTCAGCATAAAATTCTACCAGAATTTCAAAGAAGAAGTAATATCAATACTCCTCAAACTGTTCCACAAATATAAACAGAAGGAACATTGCTAAACTCTTTTTATGAGGCTACAGATACCCTGACACTCAAACTACACAGACACAACTAAGAAAGAGAATTTCAGAACAATCTCCCTCATGAACATTGATGCAAAAACACTCAATAGAATACTGGCAAATGAAATCCAAGAACACATCAAAATATTATCTACCATGATCAAGTAGGCTTCATCCCAGAGATACAGGGATGGTTCAACATATGAAAATATGCACATGCAATCCAACAAATAAACAAACTGAAAAAACCACATGGTCATCTCATTAAATGCTTAAAATGCCTTTAACAAAATCCAACACCCCTTGGAGATATCAGGAGATACCAAATTATGCCTGTCAGAATGGCTAAGATAAAAAACAATGATGACACCTTATGTTGGAGAGAATGTGGAGAAAAGGGAACATTCCTCCACTGCTGGTAGGAGTGTAATCTTGTACAGTCACTCTGGAAATCAATATGGCAGTTACTTAGAAAATTGGGAATCAACCTACCTAATAACCCAGCAATACTCATCTTGGGCATATACCCAAAAGATGCTCAAGTATACCACAAGGACACTTGATTAACTATGTTCATAGCAGCATTATTTTTAAGAGCCAGAACCTGAAAACAGCCTAGATGCCCCTCAACCAAAGAATGGGTTAAGAAAATGTGGTACATTTACACAATGGAGCATTACTCAGCTCTTAAAAACAATGATATCAAGAAATTTGGAGGCAAATAAATGGAACTAGAAAAAAATCATTCTGAATGAGGTAACCCAGACTCAGAAAGACAAACATGGTATGTACTCACTTATAAGTAAATATTAGATTCAAATCAAAGGATAACTAGGCTATGATCCATAAACCCAGAAAAGATAGGCAGAAGACCCTAAAAGGGTCATGCATCAATCTCCTCAGGAAGGGAAAATGGTTAAGACCTCCTGGGCAAACTGAGATGGGGAATAAGGGGAGAAGATGAGGAGTGGGAACATGAGGGATTGAGATGGCTATGTTGGGGGAAGGATGGAGATCAAGAGCAATGAAAGATATCTTGACAAAGGGAGCCATTATGGGGTTAGGGAGAAACCTGGTGCTAGGGCAATCCCCGGGAACCCACAAGGTTGACTCCAACTAAGATTCCTAGCAAAGGTGGAGAGGGTACCTGAACTAGCCTTCCCTGTAGTCAGATTGGTGACTACCTACTGTGGGATGGTCTGTATGTCAAATTGCTCTGATTGGTCAATAAATAAAACACTGATTGGCCAGTGGCCAGGCAGGAAGTAGGTGGGACAAGGAGAGAGGAGAATTCTGGGAAGCAGAAGGCTGAGGCAGAGAGACACTGCCAGCCACCGCCATGACCAGCAGCATGTGAAGACACCGGTAAGCCACCAGCCACGTGGCAAGGTATAGATTTATGGAAATGGATTAATTTAAGTTATAAGAACAGTTAGCAAGAAGTCTGCCATGGCCATACAGTTTATAAGCAATATAAGTCTCTGTGTTTACTTGGTTGGGTCAGAGAGGCTGTGGAACTGGCGGGTGACAAAGATTTGTCCTGACTGTGGGCAAGGCAGGAAAACTCTAGCTACAACTACCCTAATTGTCATCATAGAACCTACATCCAGTGACTGATAGAAGCAGATGGAGAGACCCACAGCCACACACTTGACTGAGCTCCTGGAGTTCAGCTGAAGAGAGGGGGAATTACAGGAACAAGGGGGGAGTCAAGATCATGATGGGAAAAACCACAAAGATAACAGACCCAAGCTAATGGGAGCTCATGGACTCTGGACTGACAGCTGGGGAGCCTGCATGGGACTGAACTAGGCCCTCTGCATGTGGGTGACAGGTGTGTGGCTTCATCTGTTTGTGGGGACCCTGGCAGTGGGATCAGGGCTTATCCCTGAACAGGCTTTTTAGAGCTAATTCCCTATGGTGGGATGCCTTGCTCAGCCTTGATTCATGGGGGGGGAGGGGGGGGCTTGGTCCTGCCCCAAGTTGGTATGCCAACCTATGTTGATTACCCAAGGGAGGCCTTACCCCCATGAGGATTGGATGAGGGTGGGGTAGAGGGAGGTGTGGGGGAGTGGGAGAAGGGGATGGAGGGGTACCTGTGGTTAGTATGTAAAATGAAAAAATTTCTAAATAAAGAAAAATTTTTAAAAATACCCAGTAGAATGGGATGTTTCATGAGATAAATACACTACATTACAGGCAGTGGGAATCTCCCCACACTCATTCACATCATGACAGATAGCAAAGGAAGATGGCAGGGGCAAACATGTAAAGGCACAGCAGAAGCAAAAGACACTCTGGGGTCTGGGGTCTCAGGGACTTGCCTACCAAAATTCACCCATCAGAGACTTTCCTCCTGGTGTGCTGACACTCTGAAGTCAATTGACACCTGCTGTTCCTCAAACATGGACAAGGTCATCTCTTCCTTTTGTGTTGATTAAATGAAGTGTGTGAATCTCACTTTGGGCAGAGCATACTGTGGATCTTAAACATCTGAAGATGACTGGAAGAAGGAATAGAAGTAGAATAATTAATCCTCCAATGATTCCCAAACTAATAAAACTCCATAAAGAGTTATTTTGAACAAAATTTTTGACTGAATTAGTGAACTAACTAGCCACCTCTTTTGTAGAGGATATCTGTAGCCTAGAATGACTAATAACACTAATCTGAGAATGAAGAATATCCATATTGATTATTAATAGCTGACAACTATTTCAAACATCTTATAGGTGAGCTGAACTTGCTCCCAGGACATCTCTGATCTACTGTAAGGCAGAGGAATAACACAAATCCATTTATAGTGAGCATGACATGAGGTTAAGCATTTCTTAATATTTTGGATCTGAGTTCCCATGTGAAAAATGGTTTCTTCTAAAGCATTAGCTCTACCTGTTAATCCTTGGTCAATCCTTTCCTGAATAACCAATGTTAATGATACATTTCTAAATAAAGAGTTCACCTGATTAGCAGTGTGCACCTGCTGAACCAAACCTGTAACAGAAGCTGACATAGATTTCAAAATTGTAATCAAAGCAATTAATAAACCATTTTAACTTTGAGAGGACAGTAGCAACCTGTTTAAATATACACGCAGCAAGATCCTCATACCAGATTAACTGACAAAAGTATATATGGAGCCATTAAAATATACATATCAGGATCATGGGCAAAATTTATACAATAAGTAATAGAACATTTTTAAGGGCAATCTAACCCCTGGAGTAGAGAGTTCAATGTAGAGGGTAGGCTTTGTTCAACCATACCCTGTAGCAGGTAGGGACTGAGGGAAGTTGGGAGAACCTGGTAGCCAGGTCAAGCTTTGATGTGATGAATAAGCACCTCAGTTATATGTCCTGGGTAAAGAACTTAACATCTCAGCCTTTTTGTTGATAGCAAATGAGTGACAAGGGATGTTGAAATCATCCATGATACTTCCTGCTGACAATGGGCTATTCTTGGGAACACTAAAGACTGGAATATTGACCAAGTCCAGACAGAGCAGACTGCTTCATTTGTTGTCCAGGCTTTATAGGACCCTCTGGGACCAGGAACATGCAGGCAGCAGTTGGAGCAGTCTGTAGCCTTTAACTGATCAGAAATCTGCTAGAAAAAAATGTACAGTAATGGGCAGAAAATGGAGTTAAGGAATTTTAGGGGGTGTACACTTTTCTTTTAGGTGTACATCTGAAATTCCCAGGTCCACAGTCCTGGCAGGTGGGAGAGGGGTGTCCCAAAACCAGGGAAAGGGGAAGAGGTCCCACCATTGTGTGTTCTAGTATGCCTCTGAAGATGACCTTGTTGTGCAAAGGCTTTACCACACTGATTACATTCATAAGGTTTCTCTCCAGTATGTGTTCTTTTATGGATTTGGAGATAATTGTGATATGCAAAGGCTTTACCACATTGATTACATTTATATGGTTTCTCACCAGTATGTGTTCTTTGATGGATTTGGAGACTCCTGTGACATGCAAAGGCTTTTCCACATTGATTACATTCATAGGGTTTCTCGCCAGTATGTGTTCTTTTATGTATTTGAAGATATGCGGGTTGTGAAAAGGCTATACCACACTGATTACATTCATAGGGTTTCTCTCCAGTATGTGTGCTTTTATGTCTTTGAAGATGACTTTGCTGTGCAAAGGCTTTACCACACTGATTACATTCATAGGGTTTCTCTCCAGTATGTGTTCTTTTATGTTTTCGGAGAGTAACAGTACATGCAAAGGCTTTACCACATTGATTACACTCATAGGGTTTCTCACCAGTATGTGTTCTTTTATGGATTTGGAGATAACTATGACGTGCAAAGGCTTTACCACATTGATTGCATTCATAGGGTTTCTCACCAGTATGTGTTCTTTTATGGATTTGGAGACTACTGTTTGATGCAAAGGCTTTCCCACATTGATTACATCCATAGGGTTTCTCACCAGTATGTGTTTTTTCATGCATTTGAAGATGACTGGGACCTGGAAAGGCTTTCCCACATTGATTACATTCATAAGGTTTCTCGCCAGTATGTGTTCTTTTATGGATTTGTAGATAATTGTGATATGCAAAGGCTTTCCCACATTGGTTACATTCATAGGGTTTCTCTCCAGTATGTGTTCTTTTATGGATTTGGAGAACAGAGTGAAGTATAAAGAATTTCCCACACTGATTACATTCATAGGGTTTCTCTCCAGTATGTGTCCTTTTATGTATTCGGAGACTAGAGTGATGTGTAAAGGCTTTACCACATTGATTACATTCATAGGGTTTCTCTCCAGTATGTGTTCTTTTATGGATTTGGAGAATAGAATGACGTGTAAAGGCTTTACCACATTGATTACATTCATAGGGTTTCTCTCCAGTATGTTTTCTTTTATGGATTTGGAGATAATTGTGACATACAAAGGCTTTACCACATTGATTACATTCATAGGGTTTCTCTCCAGTATGTGTTCTTTTATGTTTTTGGAGACTACTGTTGCATGCAAAGGCTTTCCCACATTGATTACATTCATAGGGTTTCTCTCCAGTATGTGCTCTTTTATGTATTTGGAGATACCAGTGTTGTGAAAAGGTTTTACCACATTGATTACATCCATAGGGTTTCTCTCGAGTATGGATTCTTTCATGCCTTTGAAGATGACTATGATATGCATAGGAATTAACACTTTGAGCATATTCAGATGGTTTCTCTCCAGTATGACTTCTTCCATGCCTGCAATGATAATTGGCACATGTAAAAGCTTTATCACATATGTTACACTGTTGAATATATCTGTATGAATTAATTTTACAAATTTAGTCTCATTGTAAAGAGGAATCAGATCTTAAGTTTTTATCACTTTGTTTATACTCTTGATGTTCCCCTTCATTAAGGGTTATTTTGCATCTTTGAATATACCTGTGATGGTAAGAGCTTTTATTACATGACTTGCATTTATAACTATTTTTTTATATGAGAATTTTATATATTTGAACAGAACTGGAAAAACTCAGAGCTTTACCACACATATTACATTCATAAATTTTCCTATAGTATGAGTCATACTACATTTGCAAAGTAAGCCAGGACAAACAGAAGTATTTACATATCCCTAGTATTCATAGGACTTTTCTGCAATGTGAGATTGTTGATGTATTTCCATTGTAGCTGGAAAAGCAATTACTTGTAAACTTGAATCATATTCAACAAGGCTATTCAAAGTGGGTCTACTACATATCTTCTAATTGTTCTGAGAGGGAGAGGGGTTTGTTGTTTCTTTTGATATCCCTATGTTCATATGGCTTGGATACAGGAAAGAATAACAAATAAAAAGTGTTCACATTACATTCACACAGTTTGACTTTTTGTTCCTCAAAGACATATGATATATAGAAAGGGTTTCTCCACAATGATTACCACTGGGCTCTTGACTCTAACTACCCCTCCTCTGATTAAACTTTACAAAGTCACAACAAGTATATGGGTAACACAATCTTTACTATAGACTATTTACTTATTAGAAGGTTTTGAACATATACTTATCACCTATTGAACATGCATATCGTTTGTAATATGAGTGATATGAAAATAAATGGATTGAGAATTCTACAGAATTCTCATGAGGCTATGATTCAAATGGTGATATCTGTTATGGCATTGTTTCCTTGTCTCCTTTCTTAAAATAATACATTGCAAACACAATTTACTTACTTGACATTGAGGTATATGGTTTTGTGAGAATTTAATAATTATCAATGCACTTTAAGCTGTGCTTATTTACAATGTTGCTTTCTTTAAACCTCCAGACACCTTAAAATTTCTCCTGAGGCACATTTGTATTAGCTTGCATATGAAAATTACCTTCCATGTCTTCTAGAACTTTCACAATGTTCTTCAATATGATGATCTTTCCATTTGTAACCTAAAATATATACCAGAAAATGTATATTATTGGAAATTGTGCAAAATTTAAGTTATTATCTTCAGTAAATCTTGGAACCATGACTATTTTATTCACATCATCCTTCCTCACTTTCAATCATAATTACAGAAGAGTATCAATAACCAAGAAACATCACCCCTTTATTTTAAAATGTGAAGGAAAATTCAGTCTTACCTATAGCAGTGAGGTTCCCGTAGGTCTCCAACATCACATCTTTGTAGAGACGCTTCTGGGAAGGATCCAGCAAAGCCCACTCTTCCCAAGTGAAGTCAACATGCACATCGTCATAGGTCACTGCATTCTAAAATATAGTATACATATGTGGGAGAACATCCCACCCCCATTTTTCCTCAGGGTACTCTTGATAGAAACTTAGAGGGGAGAGAAACAGAAAATACAGGAGACCCTCAGGAGGGCCTGGATCCTAATCTATTGGGCTCCAACTGTCTCTGCCAAAGGGCTTTTAAAGGAATGCCAAGGGGTGGAGCAAAAGACCTCCCCCCAGCACAGCCAAGTGCAGACCATCTCAGACACATGGTACTCAGGCCTGTGGTCCAATCATCCTCTTATGCAGTCCTGCTGGGTAATCCCACTAGGAAACCTAGGTGGGCTACAACACATATGTACAAACGAAAATGATACTGACAACATTGTAAATGTATACTTCTTTGAAAATATAGTTCTTCTGCTTCTTACAATTATTCCGTGACACAGAAGTTCTAATGTAATCACCAAGTCACGTTAAAAGAAAATTGAATGGGAGGGTCACCTCTGTCATTTCTGTACTTTTAAATGGGTATCACCTTGTTAGAGAAATGCCTATTAATACAAATAGAGAAATAAGCAAACAGATAAATAGTACTGAGTACACATCAAAGAAATTGTACCAACAATTACTAACTACAAAAAAAAAAAAAAAAAAAAGATGGGCAAGCTGGGTGTACTGGCTCATGCCTTTAATACCAGTACTCTGAAGGCAGAGGCAGGTGAGTCTGCCTCTGAGTTGAATGCTAGCCTCATTTATGTAATCAGTTCCAACACAGCCAGAAGTACATATTAAGAAACTGTATCCCCTGCAAAGATTCTTCAAATAAACAAAAAAGATAGAAAGAACTCAAAAGGTTTTAATGAACTTCCTACAAAGAGTTATGCATTCACTCCAGTTCTATATTCATGTTCCAGAATTGTCTACACCTTTGGCATTCCTTTAAAAGCCCTTTGGCAGAGACAGTTGAGGTCCAATAGATTAGGATCCAGGCCCTCCTGAGGCTATCCTGTGTTTTCTGTTTCTCTCTCCTCTAAATTTCTATCAAGAATTGTCTTTGCTCAAGAAACTAGACATCAAAATAATGAACGATGCAATTAAAAAATGGGCTACAGAGCTAAACAGAGAATTCTCAACAGAAGAATCTCAAATGGCCTAAAGACACTAAAGGAATTGCTCAACATCCTTAGTCATCAGGGAAATGCAAATCAAAATGACTCTGAGATACCATCTTACACCTGTCAGAATGGCTAAGATCAAAAGCACTGAAGACAGCTTATGATAGAGAGAATGTGGAGCAAGAGGAACACTCCTCCACTGTTTTTGGGAGTGCAAACTTATACAGCCACTTTGGAAATCAGTATGGAAGTTTCTTAGAAAATTGGGAATCAATCTTCCTCAAGACCCAGCTATACCACTGTGGTGGTATTGTGTTCCCCGAAATATTGTGCACCCTAATAAACTTATCTAGGGTCAGAGACAGAACAGCCACAATATTAAACATAGAGGATAGGCAGTGGTAGCACACGCCTTTAATCCCAGCACTAGGGAGGCAGAGCTAGGCACAAATCCATGTATTCAAGGATACAGCCAAGCATGGTGACTCACGCCTTTAATCCCAGAAAGTGAGCCTTTAATCCCAGGGAGTGATGGTAGAAAGCAGAAAGGTATATAAAGCTTGAGGACCAGGAACAAGAAGCATTTGGCCTGGTTAAGCATTTGGCCTGGTTAAGCATTCAGGTTTTTGAGCAGCAATTCAGCTGAGACCCATTCTGGATGAGGACTCAGAGGCCTCCAGTCTGAGGAAACAAGACCAGCTGAGGATCTGGCGAGGTGAGGTAGCTATGGCTTGTTCTGGTTCTCTGATCTTCCAGTGTGCACCCCAATACTTGGCTCTGGGTTTGTTTTATTAATAAAGACTCTTTAAGTTTCCTGCTACAATACCACTCTTGGGCATATACCCAAGGAATGCTCAATCATACCATAAGGACACATGTTCAACCATGTTCACAGCAGCATTATTCATAATAGCCAGAACCTGGAAACAACCTAAATGCCCCTCAACTGAAGAACGGATTAAGAAAATGTGGTACATATACACAATAGAGTACTACTCATCAGAGAAAAACAATGACATCATAAAATTTGCAGGCAAATGGATGGAACTAAAAAGTATCACACTGAGTGAGGTAACCCAGATGCAGATGGACAAACATGGTATATACTCACTCATAAGTGGATACTAGATGTAAAGCAAAGGATAACTAGGCTACAACCCATAACTCCAGAGAAGCCAGCTAATAAGGAAGACCCAAAGAGTGATGCATGGATCACTCTGGGAAGGGAAAATAGATAAAATCTCCATGAGTAAATGGGGGGGGGTGAGGTAGGGCAATGGAGGTTAGGGGATAGGGAATGAGAACATAAGGGAACAGAATCGTTGAGCTGCAACAGGAATGGAGTGGGAAAGCAATGAAAGAGATATCATGATACAGGGAGACATCATAGGGATAGAGAGAAACCAGGTGCTAGGGAAGTTCCCAAGATTCCCCAAGGGTGATCCTAGCTTGGACTACTAGAAATAGTGGAGAGGGTACCTGAACTGAACTGGCTTACCCCCAGTGATCAGATTAGTGAATACCCTAACTGTCATCACAGAATTTTTCTCCAGTGACTGATGGAAGTAGATGCAGAGATCCACAGCCAAACACCAGGCAGAGCTCCAGGAGTCCAATCAAAGAGAGAGAAGAGGGATTCTATGAGCAAGTGTATCAAGACCATGATAGGGAACCAGTAGAGATGACCAAAGCAACTTAGTGGGAACTCCTGAAAGTTGGATAAATGGCTGTGGAGTCTGCATGGGACTGGCCTAGGCTCTCTGTATGGTGAGACAGTTGTGTAGCTTGATCTGCTTGGGGGGGGGGGGGTCCTAATCCATTCCTGGTGCATGAGTGGGCCATTTGGAACCCACTACCTATAATGGGAGACCTACTGCAGCCTTGAGGCAGGGGGAGGGGCTTGAACTTGCCTCTACTGGATGTGCCTCTCCATGGGAGGCCTTGCCTTCTTGTGAGGGAATGAGTTGGGAAGGGGAAGTTGAGAGGTGGGAGGAGAGAAGACAGAAATCTTTGATTGGTATGTAAAATGAATAGAAAATTTTTCTTAATTAAAAAAAAAAACTGTCTTTGGACTTCTGTGACAACCAGGCACCCGTGTGGTGCATATTCATGCATACAGATAAAAGACTCACATTCATTTAAAAAATTCAAAGCAAACACAACAGACAGGAAGAATGTCACATACCTGCAATCCAATAACTCAGAAGGTTCAGGCAGTATTAGTATCATGAATACATGCCATCTTGGGAAAAAAAAGAATGATACCCTCTGCCAAATTTCAAAATTAAAGATGTTGGTGAAGCTCAGCACAACACACATACTTGACATGTATAAAAGCCTACATTTCAGGCTCATCACCCAATAATATAGAAGCAAAACAAAACCCAGTAATTTTGGCCCACCTTTAATCCCAGCACTTGGGAGCCAAAATCAAGTGGATCTCTGAGTATGAAGCCATTCTAGTCTACAGAGCTACTTGAAAGACAGCCCAGGTTACACAGACAAACCCTGTCTTCAAAAACAAAAACAGTAAAATACAAAAACAACAACAACAACAACAACAACAAAAACCCAGCAGGCTAGCAAAATGGTTAGCATTGAACAGCAATTGCTTCAACTGTATCTTATCTGATTTAGGGACAGATCTATAATGGTGGTGAAGTCATGACAGCAAAGAAGGAAGTTGGCTGATCAGCTTCAATGACAACACAGTAGACACGAAGAACAAGAAATGGGTTGAGGCTATTAGATACTCATCTCCCATCCCCAATGAGGAATTTCATCCAGAAAGGCTCCTCCTAAGTAAAGCACAAATATCCACAAAGAGGGCCACCAAGGAGAGACACATGTTCAAATACATGACCTATCTGGGAGGTTTTTCACACAGCCGACTACTTTCTGCCCCAGGTCACTACAGGCTCATGGTCATCCCATGATGAAAATGCATTAAGCCTAACTTCAATGATCCTCATAGTCTGCAACAACCTCTACACTGTTCAAATGTACAAAATCTCTTCTGACATTCGAGACAATTGCTTGACTGGGACATCTTGTAAAATCAGAAAACAAGTTATATCTTTACAACATACAATGGCACAGAATACAAATTTACATCTTCAAAGAGAGGAATGGGGACATAGTGAGGGAAGACTGAACTAAGGCAAGATTGAAACCCAGGAGGGTAAACAACAAATCCTGTAGTTCTCTGTTAGACACATGGGGTTTCAGTTTCAAAGAGCTTAGATGGTCCTATCCCTGCAACTTCTCACACATCTCTCTTTGGTTGCTTTCACTCCCTATATGCAGCCCTCTGTGGCAGATATCTCAGAGCTTGACTATCTCAACATCTTATGGTCTCAAAATACAACCCAGGCTTCATATTCACAGCATTATGCTATAAACAATCACATTCTTCTCACTGGGGCTCTGACTCTGCCGAACACAGATGCCTGCAACAATGCTGAACTGAAACCACAGACTAAGAATCCATGACCTGAAATTTTGCATCTTTCTTGTTTCCACAACCAGTACAAGATCAAAGATTCCCCCAAATTTGGCTTCTAAGTTGTGATGGACTCTGTCATGCTTGGATGAGAGTTACAGTAGAATTTGTATGAAGTTGCTTCCTGGGACTAGGAATCACTTTACCTAACCCTTCCATTAACTGAAGATGTAGAAAGATGGATTCTTAACCTTAGGGCATCTTGTTTGGCTTCCAGTGTAGAACAAGGGCCATCTCTTTAATGGTGATAAACTCCCTGAAAATTCCTGCTTCTGTTCACCACTTGGCTGCCATCCGAAACTACACAGGCATGTTTTTCCCTACAACCCACAGATTTTTATTTATTTTTGCCCCACTTGTTGCTCTTTTCATTGTAGTCCTGAATGAGTCATCAGTAATAGCCATCTAAGAGATTC